CAGTAACTTCATTTCCCGTGCAAGGCTGTGGTATGCCTGCGTTGGTAGGTCCTGTGCACCTCACTCTGTACCTTTGTCCACATGCTCCTCCATTGTTGTATAATGAAGGATTTGCTGCTGCTATCATTGTACCTCGGTCTTCAAATCCATAGCATGCCGATGCTGCACATAGTTCAACTAGTCCATTAGCTTGCTTTGATCAGTTACCGAAAATTAGTACTATTAGGTCAAAGTTTTCTTTTAGTGCTTATTTTATGGGTTAAACCACTTTGTTAAAAGAATAATGCCAGAATCCTAGGTGGCAGGAGATAATTTGATGTAAAAAATGACTATTGTACTTAAACAGTTCAATAATAGAAATATCAAACCAATGAATTAAGATAATATGAAAGAAACTTACGAACATAAGTAGTGTAGAAAGTTGCAGTTCCAGGAATGGCACTGGCCATGGAAATCAGGCTAGTGGCAATGAGTGTTGCCATGATAATACGTTCAATCGCCATTGAATTCTGTAAAACTTGGTTTCTAGTTTGTATTCTATGTGCAATCACAATTTCCTGCGTCTAAGTAACTAGTAATAATGTTTATTTATAGCAGCGGGAGATGGTACAATTCAACTTTTATTTCTTCTCCCGTGGCTGCTACATGATTCACACGTTTCGTTGGTCTTCGGAATGACTTTTTTCTGGAAGAATTAGGCATATAATTGATTATCAAAGAGAAATTATGAGCTATTAATTGCATGCATGGCTAATGCTATATGGTTTTAAGTGTCGATCACGTGTCCTCGAGTATATGTCCGATACACGATTTGTAAAAGTAGACAAGATTTTAAAAGTCTATTCTTTATTTAATACCGTATAGAATTATTCAACGGTCTAAACATTGATTTCCCTCTTCAATTCTGGGAGTAGCTGATGTTTCAGATTCAAAATATTTTTCGAAGACCCAGATTTAAGCCACAATATGTAACGTAAGTGAATTTTTATGCAGACTTGCCAAACTTTTCTTAGACCACGTATTTATTCATTAAATAGAGACTTTTTTACGCACAAATACGTGAGAATTTTTGCACATAAATTTCAAAGATAGCCTAATCGTCAAGAAGAAATATGGAGGGAGTGCATATGAGACTGCAGTCCAAATTAGAAATTCTTTATCTTTCGAAGCACATTATATAAATGTTCGACTCTTGATTTTACTTTTGCTTTTTC